ATTTTTTGGGGGGCGTTTTGAGCAATTTTGATCATTTTTGGGGGGGTTTGGACCATTTTTTGGGGGGCGTTTTGAGCGATTTTCATGGGATTCTGATCATTTTTTAGGTGGAGTTTTGAGCAATTTTGATCATTTTTGGGGGGGTTTGGACTATTCATGGGATTCTGATCATTTTTTGGGGGGGCATTTTGAGCGATTTTGGTCATTTCTTGGGGGGTTTCCGATCATTTTTGGGGCGTTTTTCCATCATTTTTTGGCGGTTTTTCGTGCTTTTTTCGCGGGGTTTTTTTTGGGGGGGGGTTGGATAATTTGGGGAGGGGTCTCTGACGGAGCGCCCCCCCCTCCCCAGACGTACGATCTTGGGGGGTTTTCAATCATTTTTTGGGGGGTTTTTCCATCATTTTTTGGGGGTTTTTCGTGCTTTTTTCGCGGGGTTTTTTTTGGGGGGGGGTTGGATAATTTGGGGAGGGGTCTCTGACGGAGCGCCCCCCCCTCCCCAGACGTACGAGCAGCGCAAGGTGGTGGAGTTCACGTGCCACACGGCGTTCTTCGTCAGCATCGTGGTGGTGCAGTGGGCCGACCTCATCATCTGCAAGACGCGGCGCAACTCCGTCTTCCAGCAGGGCATGAAGTGAGGGGGGGCCCCGAAATCCTGGGGGGTCCCCAAATTCCTGGGGGGGTCCCGAAGTCCTGGGGGGGTCCCGAAATCCTGGCGGGGGGTCCCTGAATTTTTGGGAGAATCCCTGAATTTCTGGGAGCTCCCCCAAAAAAAATGGGAGAGGTCAAAACTTGGGAGGGAGCAGGGTGTGGCATTGCTGGGAGGAGAATGGGTTTGGGGGGGGTCCCCAAAATTCTGGGGGGGGTCCCCAAATTCCTGGGGGGGTCCCCGAATTCCTGGGGGGGTCCCGAAATCCTGGGGGGGTCCCTGAATTTTTTGGGAGAATCCCTGAATTTCTGGGAGTGTCCCCAAAAAAATGGGAGAGGCCAAAGCGCGGGATCTGGCATTGGTGAGAGGGGGCTGGATTTGGGGGGGGGTCCCCAAAATTCTGGGGGGGTCCCAAAATCCTGGGAGGGTCCCCAAATTCCTGGGGGGGTCTCCGAATTTTTGGGAGAATCCGTGAACTTCTGGGAACATCCCCCCAAAAAATGGGAGGGGTCAAAACTTGGGAGAGGGCTGGATTTCGGGGGAGGGTCCCAAAATTCTGGGGGAGTCCCGAAATTTTGGGGGGGGGTCCCAAAATTCTGGGGGAGTCCCCAAAATCCTGAGAAGGACCCCAGGAAACAGCGACACCCCCGGGAATTTTTGGAGGATTTTGGGGGAATTTTTGGGAAAAGTTTTTGGGAATTTTGTGAGAATTTTTGGGGGGGGGGAATTTTGGGGAAATTTTGAGGGATTTTAAGGAGAATTCGGGGGAATTTTGGGGAAATTTTGGGGGATCCAACAGTCCTGTGATTTTTTAGGAAGAAAATCCTGATTTTGGGGCTTTTCAGGGCCCAGATTTTGGGGTTCCCACTGATGGATTTTTGGGGTGATTTCTGTGTTTTTTTTAGGAACAAAATCCTGATTTTGGGGCTTTTCGGGGCCCAGATTTTGGGGTGGATTTGGGGTTCCCACTGATGGATTTTTGGGGTGATTTCTGTGTTTTTTAGGAACAAAATCCTGATTTTGGGGCTTTTCAGGGCCCGGATTTTGGGGTGGATTCTCTCAGAATTTGGGGTGCTTTTTTGTGGTTATTTTAGGAACAAAATCCTGATTTTGGGGCGTTTCGGGGCCCAGATTTTGGGGTTCCCGCTGATGGATTTTTGGGGTGATTTCTGTGTTTTTTAGGAACAAAATCCTGATTTTCGGGCTCTTCGAGGAGACGGCGCTGGCCGCGTTCCTCTCCTACTGCCCCGGCATGGACGTGGCGCTGCGCATGTACCCCCTCAAGTGAGCCCCAAAACTGGGGAGGGGTCCCCAAAATCCGGACACCGGGAGGGGGCGGGGCCCTTTTAAGGGGGGGGTTGGGAGATTTGGGGACGTTTTGAGTGATTTTCGGGGGGTTTTGAGCAATTTTTGAGGGTTTTTTAGCCAATTTTTTGGAGGTTTGAAATATTTTTTGGGGGGTTTTGATCATTTTTTTGGGGGGTTTGAGCATTTTTAGGTGGTTTTGGACCTTTTTTTTGGGTTCTGATCATTTCTGGGGGGGGGTTAACCATTTTTTTGAGTTTTCAGTGATTTTCGTGGGGTTTTGACAATTTTTTCAGGGTTCTGGACTGACTTTTTTGTGGCTTTGACCATTTTTGGGGGTATTTTTAACCATTTTTTGGGTTTTGACCATTTTTTTGGGTGTTCTTCACCATTTCTTTTGGGTTTTGACCATTTTTTTGCTAGTTTTGACCATTTCTTTTGGGTTTTTGACCATTTTCCTGGCTTTTGACCATTTTTGTGGTTTTTGACCATTTTTTGTGGGTTTTGACCATTTCTTTTGGGGTTTTGACCATTTCTCATGGTTTTTGACCCTTTTCCAAGATTTTTGACCTTTTTTTTGGTGGTTTTTGACCATTTTTGGCTGGTTTTGACCATTTCTTTTCGGGTTTTGACCATTTCTTTTGGGTTTTTGACCCTTTTTTGTGGTTTCTGACCATTTTTTAGTGTTTTTTGACCATTTTTGGGTGGTTTTGACCATTTTGTAGGTGGTTTTGACCCCTTTTTCTTGGTTTTTGACCTTTTTTGGCTGGTTTTCACCTTCTTTTGGTGCCTTTTGACCATTTTTGCCTGTTTTTGACCATTTTTGCCTGTTTTTGACCATTTTTGGCTGTTTTTGCCCATCTTTGCCTGTTTTTGACCATTTTTGCCTGTTTTTGACCATCTTTGCCTGTTTTTGACCATTTTTGCCTGGTTTTGCCCATTTTTGCCTGTTTTTGCCCATTTTTGCCTGTTTTTGACCATTTCGTGGGTGCTTTTTGACCATTTTTGCCTGTTTTTGACCATTTTTGGCTGTTTTTGACCATTTTGTGGGTGGTTTTCATTTTTGGTGGTTTTTGACCATTTTTGCCTGGTTTTGCCCATTTTTGCCTGTTTTTGACCATTTTTGCCTGTTTTTGCCCATTTTTGCCTGTTTTTGCCCACTTTTGCCTGTTTTTGCCCATTTCTGCCTGTTTTTGCCCATTTTTGCCAGTTTTTGCCCATTTTTGCCCATTTTTGCCCATTTCTGTGCTCTCCAAACACATTTCCCCGCCCTTTCCCGCCTTTCCCTTTCCCCCATT